TACCACCCTTGTGGTTGGGTTGTATGAACATTATGAATTAGGTTTCCATCATTGTGATTTAATTTTGTTACAGATTGGGGTTTTTGATCTAACTTAGTTAAAATTTCTCTTAAATGAAGGGTAATATGGTCAATTTATCATTTCTTTATAAAAACCTATCCATGGCCTCCCTGTTTCTCCGACCTCCTCTCACTTCTCTGGCCACCAATCCGGCCTCCTCTACGTTTTCCAGCCTTGTACCCCTTCTTCGTCCACCACCTTTCAAGTTGTCTATGCAAATCTAAAACCAAAAACGAAAAACAAATCTAAAACCAAATAGAAAAAGCAAATCTTAGACCAAAAATGAGTGACTCGCCCTATTCATCCTCCCAAATCCCATTCACCTTAAAAAACCACGAGACCATTGAAAATCGTCATTTCATTTCAATAAAATTGCACCACGATGTTGGTATTTCCAAATTTTGGTTGTGATATGTTTTTGCAAAAATATGTAAGATGGATGTTGCCGATAACCGTTAATACCATCATCAATGTGCAATAATGAAGATTTGAATGTGACTTGAGTGGAGGTGTGAGGGAGGACGGAGTTGTGGGTGGACATATGACACAACCTAAAACTCGCTCTAAATAAACTTTTAATTAATTGAAAAAAAAAACTAAGGGGCCATTTACCAAACACTTACCCGGTAAGCATTTACCGGTAAATTTAACACTATCATTTACTTACAAAATAAGATTTTAGTTCACCAAAACGGTATCGTATGCAACAATTTACCCGGTAAGCGCTTACCGTGGTAAGAGTCATCACCGTCACTTACCGGGTAAGACTCTTGGTCCTTGTCTCGCTCTTACCGGGTAAGATTCTTGATTCACCATATTCATCCGGTAAAGGTAAAATGACTTGGTGTTCACTTACCCAAGTAAGCGTTTGATAAACGGTCTCTAAATTGCCCTTTATTCAACATAACTTTTCTTAACTGAGTTAGGTTAAGGAATCTAATCCATAACAAAACTAAAACTATAATGATAATACTTGTAATTATTTTATTTGAAGGACTTAATCCGTAATTTTTATATAATCATAGAGATAAATCTTGTAATTATTTTGGTTGAAGGACTTAATCCGTAATTTTCATATAATAATAGGGGTAAATTTTGTAATTTGGTCTAATTCCCTTTTATATAAAGGTGGGGAGAATTTTTTCATCTAAAATTAAACGAACACGTGAAAATATGAAGCAATATCGTGGAGATTGATTTGTGGGCGAATATTTTGGACTTCGATAAATTTGAACCCCACATAATCTTTGATTTTCGTCACCAAGATATGGATTGCGTTGAGGAGCCAAAAATTTATGGATATACTTGAAACTTGTTATAACGATATTTAATTACTTTCTTTAATAAATACTAGAAGGGTACTCGTATAATGTAACGAGATTTATATTAAATTTAATGTTTCATTTTATTTTCTGTCTTTGTTGATGTTTATAATACGGTTTTATGTGGTTTTGATAAATCGATAATGTTTTTATTTTTGAATAATACATAAATTTGAAGATATCATAAAAATTTGAAAAAAAATATATAAAAGTTCTAATTTTTTTGTGCAATTTCTTTAATTCAATTTTTTACTATAATTTCGGGGGTGTTTGGGATTGCTTATTTGAAAGAACTTATACTTTTCTACAAAAGTACTTATCAACTTATTATAAGTCAGAAAAGTTTAACTTCTTCAAAACCCCCTTATTACTGGTCTGGCACCGGTATAAGGGGGTGTTTGAGATTGCTTATAAAAGCTGTTTTTTAACTTATTTCAGTCTGGCACCGGTGATAAGCTGTTTTCTAGTGTTTGAATAAGAAAAAAAAAAACTGTTTATACCGATGCCAAACCGGTAATAAGCTGTTTTTGATAAGTTAATCATTCATGACTTATGAAAAACTGTTTATTACCAGTTTACAATTTTAACCCTGTTTTATTTAACTCCGGTTCGATAGCACATAAGTTAATAATGTAACACCCGGAAAATCTTTCCATTTTTCCTACTCCGTGCGCATCAAGGGTTTTCGTCCCATTGCTGAGGTACGCGTTTTAACCCACGTATTTAGAGCTTTAGTCACTCTAATTCCTTTAAATTCTTCTTTATTAGTATTTCTGCATA